GATCCTAAGCCCTTATGGTCGTCTCGTGCCAAACAACTAATTTTCATTATTGTTTGAAACCTGTCACCCCCTTGTCATCATTTAATCTTAAATGTTCTAATTTAAGTTTCCCCATTCAAGCATTCTACAACATGCATGCACAATTAGTTAAGTGGTCAATTCAACTAAAAAAGATTAATTTAAATTAACTCTAAGGAGGTGCCTGGTTCAACCTGGGTTTGATTCTTTGGAATGGGAGTCATAAACTTTCAACTGGGATTCATAGAATGGAGATTGAATCCCTTCCAAAAGTTATAATTTGAGGTGCTTGATTTAGATGTGTCTACAAATCGGAATGCTCATGAAATTCCAAGTTATCCTTTACTACAAATCGGTATACCACCAACCTACATCCCATCACCACTGTGTTTGCCCACCACCAACCCTACATCACCACCCTCCTACCCACCCCCCACTGTTGCCTCTGTTTCCCCACTATTCTATCAACGCAACACCTGGAGAAACAAAAGATCAGCATCAAAGCACCAGCTTTTTTTTTTTCAATCGACATGGTTCGATTACATCAATCAGTCAATTCATAGACAAGATATAAAGTATGAAGTTAACCGGATTGGTGAACAAATTCGACATGGTCGCTGCACCCATTGTTGATCCACCCACACTGGCGCATACGCGCCGCTTTTCTCCCATGTAATTGAACCAACTATGACACTCGCAGACTCTTGAATCTCAACTCTGGCATTAAAACCCATGGGTGTAAAGCCTGCAATTTTCGTTTCTCTCCGGAAGACTTTTTGGCTCAAACTATGACACTCGCAGACTCTTGAATCTCAACTCTGGCATTAAAACCCATGGGTGTAAAGCCTGCAATTTTCGTTTCTCTCCGGAAGACTTTTTGGCTCATGGAAGCAGCGGCAGCTGTGCGAGCAGATCTGACCGAACGCGATATTGTTGATTATTCATGGAAGATGGAACTATTTATGGAAGTGTTGATGGTGTTGACTTTTTCTTATCAATTTTTTTTTTTTTTTTTTTGAAAAGGTCATATCAATTGTTAAATGGAAGGGAATTAGAGAGATGGTGGAGGTTTTATCCAAAAGAAAAATAAATAAAAGAAAAAGAGACAGTGGAGGTTAGAAGTTGCAGAGGAACAAAAAGAAAGAGAGTGAAGATGAAGAATGTCTTTGAAACCTAATTTAGTGGGCTAGGTACATGCCCAATTTTTGAACCAAGTAACAAAACATGGTTTCAAATCTAAAATCTCATTCCAAGGTATTTGATACCCCGAACCACGCACTTCCTAAGACTTGGCACATAAATATCATTTGAGAACTAAATCAAAACATTCTTATATAAAATAGAGGGATTAGACTCAAAAAAAGAGTTTAACTACAAATAATCAGAATTTTAAACACAATAAGAACTAAGTACAAGAAATCAACATGATTACAATGCAGAAAGAAAATAAAATCAGGGAAGAGAAAACTCATGGAATTGATTGAATTTGAGGACGCATGGGATTTGACCAAAATTTGTCAAATGGTGGTAGGCAAAGTATTATTATTTTTCGAATATGCTTTCAACAAAATCCTTGTCGACGGGAACTATAAGAAATTGAATATGTGTCATAACTAAGATATACTCTCTCTTGACCCAAATGATTGTGTATTTGAAATTTTGACATTTAGTGTAAGTTTTACTAAAAATAACAAATTGAAATTGAACAATCATTTTGAAATATAAGAGTAACTTTTTCAAAAAAAAAAGGAAAAAAGTGAATAAAAAATCTTATATTAATTCAAGCAAATGAAGTTCTCGATGCATGCATATGAAATCTTAAAAAACAAAAACAAAATTCTCCATTTTGTCCTCATTATAAAGTTGATTTCAAATGAAATCTAATTCACATTGACATAACTTTGGCGGGAATAAATACTTTATTTGATCATAAGTATGTCCATTTTCTGATCCCTTTTATAGAAACCCATGGGGTTCCACATCAAAACCAATTGGCAATGAGGGGAGTAACCCATGGTGCTTATATACTAATAAAAAGTGTCTCCAAACACCAATGTGGGATAAATACTTCAACACCAGGATCAGGAAATAACCGTGGAATAACATCACGGGTCGCGGAATAACATCACAGACTTAAATTGGGCCATAGAATAACATCGTGGGCTTAAAATTACTACAGGCCGAGCCCGCTCTGATACCATATAGAAACCCATGGGGTTCCACCTCAAACCAATTGACAGTGAGGGGAGTAGCCCATGGTGCTTATATACTAATACAAAGTGTCTCCACACATCGATGTGGGATAAATACTTCAACACCTTTTCATACGTACTGACACACGTTTATAAAGTAGGACTGGGAAAAGACTCAACTGAATTATTTCTTGATTAATAGTTTAGAGTTTTTATATATTGAAAAGGGGCAACTTTGATAATTGATTAAATGGCCACATATCCTCCCAGCTGCTGGCTAAATCTTTTGTTGTAACGCATCTAAACTTTGTAAATCATCTCATCGTATACATTCACGAAAGGCTTTAAGGCCCTCATTGCAGAATCTGAAAGACAAACGATTATGGATTTTTTTTATGCCATCGAACTCTTTACAATCAAATCGGTATAGAATTTCTTTTCTGACATGTTGATGTTAGGCTTATTTGGACGCCTAGTTGGTTTGCATGGGGAAAACCTTTACAACGGTATTTCTAGCCTATTATGATGGTGTTGTCCCGCCTTCATTTTTTACGAATTTCGTAACAACGAATTCTTTTTTTAAAAAAAATCAAATTTGCCGATGGGAAAATGTACAGAATATTTGGTACTTATACTATAGGCAATACTTTGGTAATCTTTGTACAATTCCAAAACGCCCCTATTAGATTACAAAAGAGAGTAATGTTTTGTGCTCATTCCTGTGTCATTTGCAATGAGTACAAGTCCCTGACATATCTTCATTTGTTGAACTTTTCTCTTGCCAATTTTTGTAACTACGAACTTCATGATTTTGGATTAATAAATCCCTTGAATGGAAAACACTGGTTTTAATATTCAATTTTTTTAATAAGTTTTTTTTGTGGTACGAATATGCTGGAACTGGAACAAATGTAAGTTGTTAGGATTAAACTAATTAATAAGATAATGTCTTGTTTTAAAACAAAGATCATTTCTATTAATTATCAGTTATGTGCTAATTAGGATAAGGATTTATCATGACATGTAGTGGCCATTGGGTGGTAAAATCTATTATTAATATTTTTGGGAGGACTACATTTTATCCCCTGAGTTTTGGGGAATCTACCATAACCCACCCCCCCCCCCAGTTATGGCAATTCTATCATGTAATTATCATTAACCTACTAAATATCTCTTAATTAACTTACTAATATTATCATCAATTTTATGTAAATGGTCAAAAATATCCTTTAGTTCATATTTTTTAGATGATAAAATTTAAATATTTGTTTAAAAATATATAAATTAAATTAAAAATACATCTTTATTCATTTATATTAATTCATTTAAACAATAGATTTTTAAAATTAAGTATATCATGTCTTTTGAATAGAATTCTAGTTGTTAGGATGTTGTGGTTCTTGGTGCTAAATCCGGGTTCAATTCCCACCAATGTGCTTGGAGGGTGGAGGGGGCAAAAATTCATATTTAAGTTGGGTCCACTTGGGTAGTTTGTTTTAAGAAAATAATTTTTGGTAATTAATTTTTTTTTTTTTTGGAATCATGATAAGTTTATATTACTAATCAGGGATTAACATTCATTTATTAACTCGTTACAATTAAATTTAAAAATGACAAACTAAGTAATTTGTATTTTCAATGATCCAAAAATGAAGAAAAACAAATAGAAAGAAAGAAAAGAAAATCAAGTGTATGTAAACCATGGTTATTTTTGTCATTTTAATGTTTAACCTCTGCATAGAGGGTATATGATAATATCACCAAAGCTCAGGGCTTTATGGTAAATCATGTCAACACTCGGAGGCAAAATATAATTTGCCCTAATTATTTTATTTTACTTTTTTAGGGGTTGGTAAAATCTATTAGTGGCTAGAAGCTCATAATCAGGACTTTATGATTTATTATATGTCACGCTCGAAGTTTCAAGAACAATGGGCTTACAGGAGCACTAAATCTAAGTTTGACAATAATTTCGAAAAGAATCATTTTGCATCATTTCTTTTCTATGTGCTTTCCAAAAACTAATAAGTAACTTACCTTGAGTATCTCACAAAGACGACGATATTACATGGTAAGTGGCCATTGGATGATAAAATCTAGTATTAATTTTATTTTTATAGGGGTTGATAAAATTTATTAATTAATTGTTGGCTAGAAGATCATAATCAAGATTTTATTATGATTTTTTACGCGCCTTATTATATTTCGTAATACCATGCTTGAATTATATTTCGTAATACCATGCTTGAAGTTTCAAAAACAATGATTAATAGGGCTTACAGAAGGACTAAATCTGTTTGAAAATAATTCTGGCAAATAATTATTTTCGCTTCAAATATTTTCTATGTACTTTCCAAAGACTAATAAGTAACTAACAAATCTTGAGTATCCCACAAAAACGACGATACGTATCACATTTCTATATAATTACAATCTTTCATCTACGATGATGAGACATTTTTCGATTAATGACTTCAGCTAAAACCAAACAATTCTTTGTTTGTTTTAAATTATGATTCCTACGTTAAATAAGAAGGGATTTTTCCCTGCATAAATCTAAATGCTATTAAGTATTTATTTTCACAAATCAATAAGCATCTGAAGATATACAAGTAAATAAAGTTAAACTCATATAACGAACTCAATGGATGTTTCTTTATTTCCAGACAACAAATAGAGTAATTAACAAGGGCCCAAATACATCAAAATAAAAAAGAAAATACATAAAGGACTTCAAGTTAAAAGATAACAAAATAAAGAATTCGAAACATCCAACAACTACGAAATTCATTAATTTCCACCTTCATTTCCTTGTGCAGGAACTGCATTTGATTGAACTCCCTCTTCTTCTTGTTTCTTATGATCCTCAAGAGATTTCAGGAGATTTTTCACAAAAGCAAGTGCTAACTCCGTTTGCCGGAGGTCCAAATCTTGTGCTTTGATTGTCCCAGCTTCCATTTCTCCAATAAGAATGAGGGCTTCCCTCTCGTCATTCTTCCTTTGAAGTTCTTTCACTCTTTGGATCTGTTTTCTCAACTTTTCAGCAAAGTAAATTTCCAATGCGATTTTTTCTAGAATTCTCTCTGGAGTTGACATGTTTGTACTATGGCTAAAGCTTGAGAATATGAATCGGATGTCCATTTTCATGTCATATTCTTATGATATATATAGCCATCAAAGGTATCAATTACATTAAAGTTCATTAAAATGAAACATATTATTTCTAGAAAAATAGTACACAGTTAATTTTTTAATAAGAGAATCATGTCATTCTTTACACCTCGTGATGAATATAAATTAATGGCATGACTCACTTAATAAAATAATTAATGCCTATCTTTTAGAAATATATATATTTTCACTATATATCCCATGACAAAATCAAAATTTTCTAATACAAAAAATTTGAAGGATTTTTTGCAACTGGGAATAATTAACGTTTTTGATACCCTTGATAACCTATATATACCACCAAGAATCTCAATGAATAACCCATCCAATCTCATACTCTAAAAATAATATAGAGCTGAGGTTTACCATAATTTGGTGATCTAGAGCGTAGAAAATTTCTCCTTTTAAATTCTTTTTTTATAATAGATATGCATTGGAAAACTAGAATTTAGAAAATAAGTATTGTGTTCATGTTAAGAAAGAAATTTATTAAAGAATATTAATTAACTGCACCAATTAACCTCGTCAGAATCTGAACCACATTATATGAATAGTGGGAAATTTAATTAGCCTAAAGAAAACAGCTAGCTAAATACGAAAAAAATGAAATAAAATATTTAATTTTGAATCATAAATTAATTATTACTCCAAAAAAGACCAAAAAAATAATTTTTCTACTTTTAATCAAAGATCTTCGGATTAAATTGTGTGAATTGGTTTTTATCGTGTTATTGGAACTACTAATATTTTTTTCTTCAATTACTTAATATGATAAACAAAATGAATATGCTTATATTTTAAAATTTATCAATGTTTCTTGATTTACAAATTATGGGACAAAAAATAGCAACCAAAAAAAGGGTTCCAGAAGATTCTGATTGCATTCAACAATAATGACATCATTCTGAAATATCTATATCTTTAATCTAAATTAGTAACTTTTTTAAAAAAAAAATTTAAATCATCTAAAAGTAAATCATGAAATAATAATCAGATATAAACTAACAAAATATTTTTGAACAAACCTGTTCGATTGATTGACAGTGATTAAATTATCTGATTTTTCTGTTTGTTTTAATCCAAAATAATCTCGTCATGAAAAATTAACATATAGTAACAATTAATAATCAGATATGAGTTTTATCAAATGAGTCATTTTCAAATAATAATAAATTATATGACTACATAAAAATCAAAATAACTAGTTATCCACATACTTTATGAAATTCACATGGTTAACCTTAGAGAAATTTTACGATTATTAATTGGCACAAAAAAGAAAAAAAAAATCAATCAACACCAGTTACGAAGGTTTAAACCATTTGCATAAACACAAGAAACAATGTTCAAACACACAAAAGAAAAAAAAAATCTTCGTTGATTGAAATATAATTAGAATAAAACAACTATAAGTGGTAATATAACAAAAATATGCTTATAACTTACAAAGACAAATAATCTTGTCAGCGGTGCAATTCCAAGACGATGATAAGAAAAGCTTATGTGTGAAATAAGAATTGCATAATTTTTTTAAGCGAATGAGGACGCTTTTTATAGGTGTCGATGAGAAAAATTTATTAAAGGCCGGTAGATATACAATTATTTTTTTCCTTAATAAACTAGAAATCGCAAATAAATGTTTTGTTTATCGTGCTCGTTTTTGGGGCTAAAAATGAGCCAGCACAACAGTCAACAGTGTCGTTATGGTTTCTGAATTATGAGAAGAGGAGTGAAGCTCATGTCTATATCTATTTTTGTTAGGAGTTGAAAATGCAAACAGATCTTTTCCTTTTGACATGTCTTGGTTGAAAACCCTTTCAAGAAGGATTCATATTACATTGATCCAGGTTTGAATTCCAGATTCTAAAAAGATATTGTTGGAGGAAATCTTACATATTATCATGAATAACTTAGTGGCTTTTGAAGTTTTAGATTAGTGATACTATATTATTGCTGCTAACAACCAAATGTGGAACTTAACTAATTCATTCTTACAACTCTGTTAGTGATCAAATTTCACCTCTGCTAGCTTCTCCTTTTCATCTCTCCTCAACTGTGAAAGTGAAAAAAAAAAACAATAAAACAGGAGTATAAGTATATCTTTTAATCAAGAACTAAAAAAAACCAATCATGGAATGTAATCGCAGCAGTAGAAGTATAATCCAAAATCTATCAAAGAGTACAGAGTACACTCATCCTTAATATAAGAATAACATCAAAAGTTCCTGATGACACAAGAATGGATCAGATGAATCAAATCACCTAACAGTGAAAGAACCTCAGAACCTTAAAGAAGCAGCAAAAGTTACCATAGTTGTAACTCTGTACAATCTAACACCAGAAATTTCAGCTTGTTTTCTAAACTGTAATGTAAGAAGAAAGAATCTACGTATACTCTAGAAACTCATGAATTCAAGATATATTAATCAAGGGAAGAAGAAGAAGAAATGAAGAACCCTAACTTTGTGATTTGGGAATTGCTTTGATATTTCTGAAAGAACAAAAGAAATGAAAAGACTGTTTTAGATTACAATTTGCAGCATATACAGTGTCCTATTTATAGATAAATACACCTCCTGATTTTTGCTAAAGTGACTGTACAAAGAATCTAACTAAACTAGCTAATTCTGTTATGTATCCATGTGATTTTAAGATCACGGTCACAGCTTGGTGACTTTAGCTCACCCAAAATAATATGGATACAGTCTGGATCCTTCTGGCATGGAGGCTACTCTAAGGTGGTCTGATCTGGTGTGATGCTGTTCTGGAACCAACGCCATGTTCCGGTGGATGACGCTTGGGGACCACAGAATTCTTCTGAGATTCTTGAGGCTGAGACGGCGTCGTATTCACCTGAGTGGAAATCGTATTCTCCTGAGTGGAATATTTCATCACCCCCCTTCCCCCTTTTCAAGCTGAGAATGGATCAGGCTCAGCTTGGACATTAAGAAATGAAAGGGAGAGGAAGGAAGAGATTTAGTAAAAGCATCAGCAAGCTGGTGAGTAGTGGAGACATGAATTGGTCGAAGAAAGCCATCCTTGTATAAATCACGAACAATGTGACAATCAATGTCAATATGTTTTGTCCTTTCATGATAAACAGAATTTTCGGTTATATGAATTGCTGCCTTTGTTATCACAGAAAAGAGGAATTAGAGTGATGGAGGAAGCACGAAAGTCTCTGAGAATGTAAGATATCCACTGCAATTTCCGTGCAGTAAATACCATTGAACGCTACTCAGCTTCGGCGGATGAACAAGAAACAGTAGATTGTTTCTTGGTTTTCCAAGAAACAAGAAAATTGACAAGAAAGATGCAGTAGCTGCTGAGTGATCGTCGTGTGGTTTTACATGTCCCCCAATTAGCATCAGTGAAAGTCACAAGATCAAGTGAAGTAGAAGCTGGATAGAACAGCCCTTGAGTTCGATTGCCAGTAAGATATTTGAGAATATGGAGAGCGGCTTGCCAATGTGATTCTCTTGGTTTTTGCACATATTGACTGAGCTACTGAACTGAAAATGTAATGTCAGGACGAGTGAAATTGAGATACAAAAGGCACCCCACCAACAGCCTGTATTTGGCAACATCTGGAAGCAATGGAGAAGGATCTTTGTCTTCTGCTGGAAATTTGAGATCAGCAGGCAAAGGAGTGTTGACAGGATGACAATCCAGCATGCAAGCATCAGTAAGAATATCAGTCACACACTTAGTTTGTGATAAGTAAAGACGAGAAGAAGAACGAGCAATCTCCATGCCTAGGAAGTACTTGGCAACGCCTAGATTCTTGATGGAGAAGGCTTGGTTAAGAAAATCCTTGACGTGTTGAATCAAGGTTTCATCAGATCCAGTAAGCAGCACGTCATCAACATATACCAGTAAGAACACCTGCTGATTAGCACGATCATAGACAAACAAGCAATGATTATGATAGGATTGCTAGAAACCAAAAGATAAAAGTTTAGAGGTGAACTCTTTATTCCATTCCCTTGAAGTTTGCTTAAGACCATAAAGGGATTTCTTCAAACGGCATACTTGGCCAGGTTTAGCAACTGAATACCCAGGGGGAGGAGTCATATAAACTTCTTCTGTCAAATTGCAGTGCAGAAAGGCATTATTAACATCTAATTGATGCGAAATCCAGTTCTTGGCTACAGCAACAGCAAACATAATTTGAACTGTAACCACTTTGGCCACAGGAGAGAAGACTTCTGTAAAATCTTCTCCTTCAATTTGAGTGAACCCCTTGGCAACCAGGCGAGCCTTATATCGATCCACAGATCCATCGGGCAGACATTTGACCCGATAAACCCACTTGCATCCCAAAGCTTTCTTTCCTGCAGGCAAAGAAGACAACTCCCAAGTGTTGTTGTTCTCAAGAGCTGTGAGTTCTGCATTCATAGCATCTATCCATTTTCGATTATTCCTAGCCTGATTATATGTTACAGGTTCTTGGATCATAGACAAATTTGCCAAAAAAGAATCATGAGAAGGACTAAAGGAACACTGGAAAGAAGATGGATGTATAACGGCATCCAAACACTCAGGGGAATGACTAGAGCACTCAGGGAAATGAGATGAACACTCAGGAGAGTGACAGAAACTGACAATTCAAAGTCATTGAATTTAGAAGGTAAATGACGAACTCTAGTGCTCCTTCTGAGTGGTGGAGGAGATGAAGGAGGAAGTGATACAGAAATAGGAAGAGGAGTAGGATGAGATGAAACAGGAGAAGAAGGGCAAAAAGAATGAGATAGGGTGTTATTTAATGGTGAAGATATAGGACAAGAATGATCAGTTAAAATATGATTGGAGGAAGAAGAAACAGGATCATGAAGATCTTCATCAGTGATGGCAGGAATGGTTGTAGGAAGAACAGGTGTAGTATGATCAGAAGAAGAAGATGGAAACACATTTTCATGAAAGATAACATCTCTGGAAACAATGATTTTCTTGAAAATTGGTATATAGATTTTGGAGCCTTTTTGATGAGAGGGATAACCCACAAAGATGCCTCTATGAGATCTAGAATCAAATTTATCTTGATGAGGAGTTGTGTCAACAGCAAAGGCTAGACTACCAAAAACCCTGAGATGATCATATGTGGGTGGCCTTTGATAAAGAATTTCAAATGGAGTTTTCCATTTCAAAACAACAGAAGGAGTAATGTTGATAAGATGAGTGGCACTAAGAATTGCTTCCCCCCAAAACCTTTTAGACAATTGTGACTCAATAAGAAGAGATCGAGCCACTTGCAAAAGGTGACGATGCTTTCTTTCAACAACACCATTTTGTTGAGGTGTATAAGGGCAGGTTGTTTGATGAACAATACCATTTTTGCTAAACAAATCCTGGCATAAAGAATTGGTAAATTCTGTGCCATTGTCACTGCGGATGGTTTGGATTGAAGCATGGAATTGATTCTGAGTGTAAGCAATGAAATTTGCAAGTAACTGAACCACCTGAGTCTTGTATTTAAACAGAAAAGTCCAAGTGCAACGACTATAATCGTCTACAATAGTAAGGAAAAACTGACAGCCATTTATAGATGATTGTTTGTAAGGACCCCATACATCAATGTGTGTCAAAGAAAAAACTCTATCAGTTTGAATAGTGCTAAGAGGAAAAGGATCTCGATGTTGCTTGGACATAGGACAAGTCTCGCATAAGCTAACATCAGATGAGGAAGATTGTAAATCAATACAAGAAGATAGGTGTTTCATTACATTTAAAGATAGATGGCCTAATCTATAATGCCATTGATGACAGATGATACAATCAAGGCATTATTATTAGGCTGTGTAGCAGAACTGTTACTATAGAATCTTCTTGATGACAGCACATAAGAAGCATAAAGAGCTTGAGATTTCTGAATGGCCTCTAAAGTGAAGGATGATTTATCAAGAGCATACAACCCATTGATCACTCTACCAGCTGCTAAGACCTTAAAGGTGCGAAGGTCCTGTAACAGACAAAACTCATCAAAGAATTGAAAGAACATATGAGAATCTTTGGCTAATTTTCTGACTGACAACAGATTGTATTTGAACTTTGGAAGATGTAAGGAAGATTTCAAGGTCACAGAATTAGAAAAAAAAGCATCTCCAATGTGAGATACTGATTGAATACTCCCATCAGGCAAACAGACAGGAGTATAGGCTTGGACATTTTGAGGATCAGTTAATAGTTTTAGAAAGGCATTCATGTGACCTGTGGCACCAGTGTCTATGAACCAAAGAAGATACAACATACAATCAGCCTTAGAAAGTAATCGAGTTAAGACAGAGCTACCTACAAAATCCTGACTGTGTGCAAAGTTGGTTGAAGAAGCTCCATCAACTATTCCTTTTCCTTTAATCATCCTGCTTAGCTCTTTCTGAACTGCATTTGTAATGGCTTCTTACCATCCTAATTCATGAGTTTCATCAAGAGGAGTCTCAACAATATTTGCAGTTGCTGTTCCAGTAGAGGATTTCTTGTTGGCTTCCCACTTTGTTGGAAAACCATTCAGCTTAAAATACTTTGCCTTAATGTGACCATATCTGTGACAATAAGAGCAAGTTACAGGAGCCTGCTGAGTCTGCTGAGTTTGTTGAGTGGGATAACCAATCAATTTGAAACATCTTTCTTTAATGTGCCCGGTCCTCTTGCAGTAATTACAGAACAATTGTGCCTTATCAGTGTTAGCAGCAGCCTTTGAATCAACATTTTTCTTCCAAGTTCCTCCATCTTTGGCGATCATAGCAACACTTTCTGAGTTAGCAGCAACATGAACACTAACCTGAAGATTCTTTTCTGCTTTGAGAATCATAGAATAAGCTCTATTAACATTCAGAACTGGATCCATCATCAGGATCTGATTCTTTTCAGCATCAAACACATCACTCAGTCCCACAAGAAACTCCATTGTTTTGTCCGCATTAATTATGTCATCAATCAGCCTAGCAACAACAGCTAATGTATCTTTAACTCCCAAAACATACTGATCATTCTTCCTTGGACAAATCAAGGAACTCACAGCATGTCCACAATTAAGATCTGGACGCAACTGCCTAGTTGATCTCTCAACTGCTTAAGCTTGCCATAATACTGAGTAATTGAGAGATTTTCCTGTTTAATCACAGCTATCTCTCGTTTGATTTGAAACAATAAATACAAATTAGGGGAACCATATCTTTCTGCTATTTCATGCCATAGATCACTCGCATTACTAATATACATGAACTGATTCACAAGATCTTCAGAAATAGAGCTTAGAATCCATGAAACAACCATACTATTTACCTTTTTCCACTTACGATAGTAAGGAGATGTAACATCAGGTACAGGACAGCTACTGTCAACGAAACCGAGTTTACTTTTCGCCTCCAGAGCTGTTTCCATTGCCTCTTCCATAGCAGAAAATTGAGATCAGTAAGAGGAGTAGAAACGAGCTTCATGCTTGGATGATCTGAACCATGGAGAAGAAGCTGCTCCTCAAATTCCTCAGCAGCAATGTTTTGTTCATCAGTGATTGCCATTTCCAAAAGAAATTATGAACAGATTTACTTACGCGGAAGCAAAAATAGAGAATTGAAGGCAAGAAAATAACAAATTTAGAGTTCTAGGTATCAAGATCAAGCTTAGATAGCTCTGATACCATCTAGAAACTCATGAATTAAAGATATATTAATCAAGGGAAGAAGAAGAAATGAAGAACCCTAACTTTGTGATTTGGGAATTGCTTTGATATTTCTGAAAGAACAAAAGAAATGAAAAGAGTGTTTTAGATTACAATTTGCAGCATATACAGTGTCCTATTTATAGATAAATACACCTCCTGAGTTTTGCTAAAGTGACTGTACAAAGAATCTAACTAAACTAGCTAATTCTGTTATGTACCCATGTGATTTTAAGATCACGGTCACAGCTGGGTGACTTTAGCTCACCCAAAATAATCTGGATATAGTCTGGATCCTTCTAACATGGAGGCTACTCTAAGGTGGTGTGATCTGGTGTGATGCTGTTCTGGAACCAACGCCATGTTCCGATGGATGACGCTTGGGGACCACAGAATCCTTCTGAGATTCTTGAGGCTGAGATGGCGCCGTACTCACCTGAGTGAAAATCGTATTCTCCTGAGTGGAATATTTCATCATATACCAAACACAAGGCTCAAAAAGCCATTGAAGTGTTTCCAAGTAAATCCCGCATTCAACCCAAGACTTTTCCGGTTTTCCCTTTTGGGTCATCAAAGCCTCCGCCATTTTTTGGTGAAATAATTCAAGAGCCCTTTGAGACATACTGGTGGTAGTACCTGTGAAGATCAAAGATAATTCAAAAGATTCAGAAACCAAAAAATTATATCCCCATTGAAATTGAATTGCATTGTTTTGTAAAGAACAAAAACAGAGTACCTCTGATAGCAGAAGAAGAAGATGATGATGATGATGATGATGACGATGATGATTCAGCTGCTTCATCAATTGCAGAATTTCGACATCGGTTGATTAATTCTGAGATAATCAAAATCAAATGTTTAATACAATAACACAACCCGTAAACAGATGTCCAACATTTCATTGAAAAGTTTGGTAATTCATAACCAGCAGTGATAAACGATTTGCCCTTTGAGATAGATGGCTGAATTGTATTTCGGTATGGTAAACATCATCTAAAAATCAAAAAGAAACCAAAAAAAAAAAAAAAACCCTTAGAAAACTTTAATCCGGGCAAATTTTCTAAAAATTTCTGGAATATTTCACATTAATAAAGAAACAGAGTGCTACAAGAACAGTTTGTTTTGTTGATTAATTACCATCACTCTGAGTTGCCCTTCTCTTCAACATTCGATCAAGGGGGAGCTTCTGACTTCCTCTTTGAATCCTATTAGTGCCAGATTCTGGATCAGACCAATAAACTCCTTTCCCTTTGCTTTCTCAAATCTCCTCTGCTTCTTGATCACCATGACCAAGATCCCATGTTTCTTCCGGTTCATCCTCAATAAGGCCCTGATCAGAAACATCTTCTGGTTGATTAACATGCTCTGGAGCCTTACCAAACTCGTCAACAGTTTCTAATTTAAGCCTATCATCCTTCCACTACGACGACCCTTGCTGACCAGAACGATTAACTCCTTCTCCTTCACTCATTGGCCTCTTCCCTGGATTCCGATCAGAAGGATCCCCTGTTTCTTTGGGCCCATCACCAGAACTACCCTGAGAAGCTTCTTTAGAGGATTTCAGAGCATCTTCATTTCTGACTGGATGGGCTTCTTGCTCTGCTGCTGGGATTTCCTTCATTTACTGCGTTTTCTTGATTTCCCTGCTGCCCATCTTCTTCTTCTTCCATTTCATGCACCACATTATCATCATCGCCTTCAACATTATCCCCAATTCCTTCTTCTGGGTCATTCAATTCATTACCCTCTGCAACATTATCCTCAACCCCTTCTTCTGGGACATTCAATTCATCATCACCGAGAACATTTTCATGAACCCCTTCTTCTGGGCCATTAAATTCATCATCACCGTTAACATTTTCTTGAACCCATCCTCTCCGGGCATTCAATTCATTGTTGCCATCAACATTGGGATCAATCCCTTCTTCTTGGTTATTCGGTACTCAAAATTACATAAGTTGAATTTTTTGTCATTCACAATGGAGTTTCGTCAGTTGTACTTTTAGTCAGTATAGTGAACTTAGGGTCGGGGTTCCCACCGTAATCCTCAGTTTGAATTTGTTCCAAGTGATGTTAATATTTTTCTCCTATTTCGTCTCTTCAAGCTGCAATTGACTAAGCTTTGGTTACTCAATTTCTACCTCTGGATTTCCTTCCGCAAGACAACCGGGTTGTTCACTGGTCCGATTTGGTTGGTTGTTTCCGAACGGGTCAGGTGTGGATTACAGAGCACCCCTTTATTTTCCATGATTATTGGTGTATCTTTATATATGATATATGCACTATTTAGGATTTTAGTTCATGACTTTTACATTGTTGTTGTATAACAATTAAAATTGGAGAACAATGCTTTCCTTTGCTCTCCTCTTGTAGGAGTTTTGACTCACGCATGTTTGGGTGTTTGCCTCTTTCGATCTGAACTTTCAAATCTGAAAGTTTTTCTTTTCTTTTTTTTTTCTTTTTTCTTTTTCTTTTTCTTGGTTTATAATTAGATCTCTCCTTGGGAGATCTGATTGGTATATTTGGTGTATATTCTCGCTCACGGATCTGATTAAACGGGAAAAACTTTCCGGCGAATATTCCGACGGATTTCCGGCGGATTGGCAGAAGATGAACAAGAAGATAATTGGTAGATTTGCTATTGATCTAATATTGTAGGTCTTCAAGATCTGACGGCTGATTTCAGATCGGCAGTGCAAGTTAGATCTTGAAAAAATTTGTATTAAATGGTTCATCTTGTATATGTAGACTTTAAATTATTTTTTCACTTTAATTGGTGAAGTTAGTTAGATCTAGAACTCCTCATGAAATAGAGATATTTTTCTCTTCAACCATGGCTAGATTTAGCTGTTCTTTATATACGTCTTGTACAATCTGTATATTTTGCCCTCTGTTTTAATAAAATTTGAGTATCGTTTAGACAAAAAAAAAAAAAGAAATTTAATAGCATATATATGTATATTATACGTAAGGGTAGTTCCGTAACTGTATACTAAACCCTACCAACTACGGTTTTCATGTGTATGTATATATATGGCCGTTTCCGGCCCTGTGCAATGCAAGATGAGTATCATGGCTGCCATGCTTGTTCTTCTTATCATGGTATCAGGCTTTTTCATGACTGTCATCATCTAATCTTCTTGTCATACTCATCGTTGTCTTTTGTAGTCATTCTTCATCTTCCCGTCGTTATTCATGGTGCCCGGCGACGATTCTTCTACTTCTGACCAGACTCCGGTCCCTCTTGTTCAGACCTCCTCTCATGTTGTTGATCCTCCTCCACGCAAGACTGTTGATCCGTATGACTTGATGTCCAGTGATAATCCTGGCTTTAATATTACACAAGTCATTCTAAAGCACACCAATTATGAGGAATGGTGTCAAGCTATTCGTACTGCTCTTCGCGCCCATAAAAAATTCGGGGTTGTTGATAGCTCAACTCCTCAGCCACCGGCCAATTCCCCTGATTTGGGCGATTGGTGGACGAACAATTCCCTCCTCATCTCGTGGCTTCGTAATTTGATTGACCCTGCACTTCGGTCAACTATTCCTCATTGGGAAGTTGTTGCATCTCTCTGGAATGATCTTCGTGATCCGTTTGGGGTCGTTAACGGCCTGCGTATTCAACAGCTCAAGATCAATCTCTCCAACTGTAAACAGAAGGGATTGAGTATGGCTTTCTATTATGGCCGACTTCAACAACTTTGGGAAGACCTTGCTGCCTTTGAACCCCTTTAAACCTATTTGTGTGGCTCTACTGCAGTTCTTAACGAATCTGAACACCGCCGAGAGGAAGAAAAACTTCATCAGCTTCTGATGGGGATGGACAGCACTCTTTATGGTAGTGTTCGGTCCCAATTACTTGCTCAAGATCCTCTTCCATCAATCAACCGGGCCTACTCTCTTTTGGTCAAGGAAGAATGTCTTCAGTCCATCACTTCTTCTCAGGAGGAGGAGCCTCTCACTGATGCTTTGAGCTTTCTGTTTAGTCCTCTCGTCCGGTGTCTCGGGTTCGGCCATCTGAAAAATCTGATGCCGCCAAAAGTGATCTAATAGTCGTGTGTTCCCATTGCAACAAACCTGGGAATCTTATTTCTTCTTGTTTTGACTTTATTGGATATCATAAGTGGTGAGGATCGACTCGTAATGGCTCCGGTCGTTCTGGTGGCCGTGTTTCTGCTGGACGTGGTCGCGGCAATCGTACTTCATCAGGTTCTGCCTCCGGTTCAGTTTCTGCTGGTTTGGGTAATTCTGGTTTGGGTGGTGCCGACCGTGGTTCGGTTCTTGGTTGCGGTCCGGGGCTGGTTCATCTCAGGCTCATTCTGTCATGGTTTCTGGTGCTCAATTTGTTGGTTCGACCCTAACTGACAATGATAAACCTGCCTCTACGAATCTCACTCCGGATCAATGGCAGGCTCTTGTCTCTCTGCTTCACAAAACCAAATCTGCTGAACTGCTCTTTGGTAAGCATCTTTCTAATACATGGATGTATGACTGTGGCGCAACCTATCATATGACAAGTATCTACAATTTTTATTGGATGTGAGTGATATTTCTCCTCGTCTAGTTTAGTTGCCAGATGGTACCCTTACGTATGCTTCTCAGGCAGGCTTGGTGCACTTGAGTGATTCTGTTATTTTATAGAATGTTTTATTTGTTCCTAGTTTACTATGCAACTTGATTTCCTTATATCATTTGTTGGAGGACTCTGGTTGTACTGCTCAGTTTACTAATAAATTTTTTGTTGTTTAGGACCGTACTACAAGGATGCTGATTGGAGCAGGTGAGTAGTTAGGGGGTTTCTACTTCTTTCGGACGATATCTGTTGCAAAGGCTGCTCGAGCTGTGGTTCATGATTCATTTTATTTGTGGCATCAGCAGTTGGGTCATCCCTACTCGAAGGTTCTCTGGCAGTTATCTCTTGTTGATTCTAGTAGTAGTGATGTGTTTTCTAATAAAACGTGTGATGACTGTCTGCGGGCCAAACACTCTAGAGACAGTTTTTTGCTTAGTAGTCATCGCAGTGATGATTTCTTTTCATTGATACATTTAGGGTCCGTATCGTGTCCCCACTTTTGGTGGTGCTAGATATTTCTTAACTGTAGTGGATGATTTTTCTCTCACAACTTGGATTTATTTGTTAGAAGATAAGACCCCAAGTTTCTTCTCGTTTGTATGAGTTTTTTTCTATGGTTCACTACCAATTTGACAAGTTGGTTTAAATTGTGCGTAGTGATAACGGTTCTGAATTTATGTCTATTCGTGGTTCATCAACATGGGATTGTGCATGAAACATCATGTGTTGGCACTCCACAACAAAATGCACGTGTTGAACATAAGCATTGTCACATTCTCAATATGGCTCATGCTTTTCTCTTTTAAGCTAGTTTGTCGATTGCTTTTTGGGGACATTGTGTTTCTGCTGTTGTTTACTTGATCAATCGTACTCCTTCTTCTATGTTGAATGGAAAGTCCCCTTTAAAAGTTTTATATGGCAAAATATCCTCCCTTCAACATCTTCATGTTTTTGCCTGTCTTTGTTATGTGCATAACCAAGCAAGGGGGTTGATAAATTTCTATCCCGAAGTCGTAAATGTATGTTTGTGGGTTATCCTGCTGGTAAAAAGGGATGGTTGGTGTGTGATCTTGAAGAACAAAAATTTTTGGTTTCTCGGGATGTGGTTTTTATGAAACTGTTTTCCCTTATGCTACTGTTTCTTCGATACATGTTGATTCCACTCCGTCAGTTCCTGATCTGGGCATTTTGTATTTTCCGAATGATGATGATGATGTTGTATCTATTGTTCTCCAAACCTCCTCTGTCTTCCACAGTCCCGGTTGACACTGATTCTTCTCCTGCTACATCTCCCATTTCTCCTACTGCTACTACGGAGTTATCTTCAGATCAAGCAGGGTCTGCTTCACCGGCTCCCCTAGAACTCTTGAGGCGTGGTCTACACACTAAGTTTCCATCTACACGGTACCATGATTATGCTCGCCATGCTCTTAGTCTCTCTTAACCCTCCCTTCCCCCAACAAAATTATGCTCCTCATGTTTCGTCTTCGTCCTCAGGTACTCCTTATTCCAAAACACAGTTTGTAAACTATGATTCTTTCTTACCTGGACATCGAGTTTTCTTGGCAGCTATCACTGCAGGTATTGAGCCTCGTACCTTTTGAGAGGCTATGCAGGATCCCCAATGGCGCTCGGCCATGCACTCTAAAATTTGTGCCTTGCAAAACAATCATACATGGGATCTCACTTCTCTTCCTCTCGGCAAACGAGCTATTGGGTGCAAGTGGATTTACAAAATCAAATATCGGGCCGACGGTTCTGTTGAGCGCTACAAAGCTCATTTGGTTATCCTTGGCAACAATCGGGTTGAGGGCATTGATTATACTAAGACATTTGTGCCTGTTGTCAAAATGGTCATTGTTCGTACATTCTTAGCTGTTGGTGCTAAGAACTCGGAGTTGCATCAGATAGATGTTCACAATGTTTTTTCCATGGTGATTTACATCAATAAGTGTATATGAAACTTCCTCCAGGCTTTCATTCTAATGCCTCTGATAAGGTCTGTCATCTTTGCCGATCTCTATATGACCTTAAACAAGCCCCTCGCTGCTGGTTTGCCAAGCTGTCGAGTGCATTGAAAATGTATGGTTTCACTCAGTCCTCTGCTAATTATTCTTTATTCACTTTTCATCGTGGTGCTGTCAGTCTCAGTATTTTGATCTATGTTGATGATCTTGTCATTGATGGGAATGATTCTGTTGCTATTTCTGCTTTCAAAGCATATTTGAGTAATTGTTTTCACATCAAAGATCTTGGGGTTCTTAAGTACTTTCTTGGTCTTGAAGTTGCTCGTAAAGCTTCTGATATTTATCTGTGTCAGCGAAAGTACGCCTTAGATATTTTGTCGGAAGTTGGCTTGTTGGGAGGGAAGTCTACTAATTTTCCTATAGAGCAGAATCATCGTCTACCCCTGGACGAGGGTCCTCTTTTCACTGATCCTGACCGTTATTGTCGGCTGGTTGGTTGATTGATCTATTTGGTTGTTACTCGTCCTGATCTTTCGTATTCTGTTCATATGTTGGCTCAATTTATGCAGTCTCCTCGTCAGGCACATTGGGATGCAGCCCTTCATGTTGTTCGATACTTGAAGTCCAATCCGGGCGAATGGATCCTTCTTCAGGTTGACAATGATCTTCAGTTGTATGGATGGTGTGATTCTGATTGGACCAGTTGTCTTTTGTCTCGACGTTCCCTCACTGGCTAGTTTGTTTCTTTTGGTCATTCTCTCATTTCATGGCGGACTAAGAAGCAACAAATTGTGGCTCGCTCTTCTGCGGAAGCTGAGTATTGTGCTATGGGTTCTACCGTTTGTGATATGAAATGGTTGAAGTCTTTGCTTCTTATTCTTGGTGTTGGTCATTCTCAGCCCATGCGCCTTCATTGTGATAGTCAGTCTGCGCTTCATCTTGTGGTCAATCCTGTTTTTTGTGAGCATACTAAACACATTGAGGTGGACTGCCATTTTTTGCGAGATGCCTTAAATAATACAATTTCTACTGTCTAAGAGTCTTGTTATACTAGTTGAACTATACAATTTCGACCTACATCAAAAGAATATAAGTCCCAATTCTTACTAAGTCCTTCTTTTGCCAACGCATCGGCGCTCAGATTGTTTTCATTAAACGTATGCAAAAATTGCACTTCCCAATTGGGAACCAA